TTTGCCATCGTGGTTGGGTTTTTGCCGCTTGGCAACTACGTTGTAACACAATCCGATCGCTTCGTGAGCTCGACAACCGGGTTATCGCTTTTTTTTGTGCCGTTGGGTTTCCTTCGCGGTAACCACAATGGTGGTCGAGTAGATTACGTTGTGCGGGGCCGAGAACCCTCACTCCACACAAAGGGGTTGATCGCACCACGTTGTGCTAAATTGGTCAAGCACCCTCGAGGAAGTTCCACAGGGCTCATTGCTGTCTCTGGAAGCGAACGCGCCAGAAACTAAAGCATGTCGTTTGCAGCTGTCATCCGTTTGCAGGGAAGTAAGCACAATATGCCGAACACCCTTAGCAGGATGCAGCGCACCCTCCATGCGACTCGTCGAATATCTCACGGCGCTTCGCGCTTGGTGATGTGAGAGCCTGGTCCGGTGAGAACCCGGCGTGCTCCGTCCCGGCTTTTTAGGGATGCGAGGTCAATGGTCTAACGACTACGGCAGGCATGACTATGAGTATACCCCCCCGCCCCCCCTCGATTTCGTCTCACCCACTGGAGCTGAGATCAACGCTCCTCTGAGGCCCAGCTCTCTTGATGCTGGCCACCACGCTGTGCGTCGTTCCTTCTCCGACGTCTCGCCCGCACGGTTGCGACGCGTGACGGACCATACGCCTGGCATGCTTCTCGACGCGCACGAGTTCGCCGCGAAGTTTTCGCTGTTTGTCCCTTTGTTCGATCCCTGCACAAAGAAAACAAAAAGAAACCAGTGTGAGTAGTGAAGCTGGATTTTTCGAGTGCTGCGTGCTCAAATATTACGCCTGCGCTCGATGAGGTCTTACGGCCTGACACACAATTGTGGACTCAACACAACCAGAAGAATACCCCGGAGGACCGGTTCTGGGTCATCAACTAGGAAGGTCATGCAATTTTTCTGGGAATATATTGAGCAACCGCGCAGGGCCGCCGTCCATTGAAGGTACATGGGAGAATCTATTTGACTGAAGATGGACGAGCGAACGCTATTCGACACTCGTATGGGTGAGAATAATATGTCACCTCTCGCACTTGTTCAAAGAACCGAATGCGTGCACTGGTACATATGCAATATGACGTTGAATGTTCGCTTCCCAGATCTTGCCGCCGAGCACCAACACACCTACTACTGTAAGACATAATCAGGTGACTTCCATCCAACACATGCAGTTTCTGGGTTCAGATGTGTGAATAGCACTCGCCAAATGGTAACTCTTGCGCCACGTCGAGCTCTTTAGACCAGCGTTCGAAAACTTGATCGCGTTTCGATTGAGGTCACGATACACAGAACGTTGACCACTGAGGGGGGACCACATTTTGGTCGAGCTTACGCTTCAGATCCAAGAGTAGTGCAGTACGAAATGTACTGTACTGTAGACAAGGTGTCACGCACAGAGTCCACATGTAGATGAGAATGTTTTCCGAAAATGGCCACCGCGGCTGTTCTCCTCACATTCTTCACGGCTACGCCTTAAATGTAATTCTCGCTTCTCCGCGAGAATATAGCGCTCCCTGACAGTCAGACCGCCGGCATGGCCGTATACGCGACACCCCACCCTGCTCGCAGATTGGTGGAAGGCATCCGCCACTGAGTCGACTGCGCGGAGGCTCGCTGGGAGCTGAAACCTGCGAATCCGCGACAAAGAGCAGCGGTCGTGGTTAACCAGCAACGGCGATGATCAAAGTGTGTGAACGGCAATATATACGTATAACACCCACCATTACAGCAGTCCTTGAGGTATCATGCATGTGCAGTAGAAAGAGCCCCAGTTCCCATCCTAACCGACTCCAGCAACCCTCGCTCCCCCTTTGTCCTGGCCGAACAGCAGTCATCCCACACAGCCTGGAGCACTTACGCGTTGAGCGTCCCAGCAGTCATTCGTAGAGGTCCACCACCGCCAGCCGCCAGGAATCAAAGAACACAGGAGGGTCACGTTGTGCGTAGATCTACATACGTCGCAGCAGGTCATATCTGGCGAGAGTCAAGCGGTAAATATGCCGCGCGGATGACTGAACCGGTACCGACTACGCCGCACCGCCACCTTCTGTTCTTCTTGAACTTGTGAACTTGTCAATTGTGCGCCTATCCTTTTGGAGGCCCTCTCTCCGGACACCTGACACACGCGCACCGAAACCTGCCCCTCGTGAGAGAAAGCAGGCCCCACATCACACACTCGAGCAATATCAATGATGACCTTGCGGCAACAACGCTGCAGCAGACGGCCTGCTGCTTGCTGTTTGATTCTTGCCTTGCAGGGGCTGCAAGGGCAGTCGTTTGTTGCGCCATCATGTTTCCTCAACGCGCACCGGACGAGCTTCACCCGGGCAGCAGGGCAACAACAAACACCATCACGTGCGGCAGCAGCGCGACCCGTTTCGTCTCTCAACTTCGCGTCATGTTTGGCCGCGTCGCAGGAACAGGCGAAACCTCCTGGGCAATGGTCACCCGTAGGACCTGGTGGCAAAGTTCCTGACCAACATGACAACGACGATGATGAGTTCAACATCAACGTCGGGCGTGCAATGGACTATCTTGCTGCTGATGTTGCGCTGATGTTTTCCACGGCGCCCAGGCTCGAGATTTTTACTCCTGACGTCCGCCTGAAGGTGAGAGAGCTCATGGTGATGCCGAGGTTATCTGTGCGCCCACCGAAATTGGTGGGGGGGTTGTTGTGTGGAGGAATCGGTAATGCGGAGGGTTGTCGAAGTCAGACTCGATCGAGTCAGACTCCGAAGACGCTGGCTCTCCGTGTGGGTCATTCATGTCTGCTGGACTTCTGTGAGTGCATGACAAGGGCCGTCATTTTGCAGATTACGCGCTCTTTCGCGTGGATGCCTCGTCTCCAAGTGACACTGCGGCCTGGCATCTTCGCATTGTGCAGGCGACGTACTGTGCAGCAGCAGCAATTATTAAATGCCCCATTCCGTTTTACAGCAGTGGACTAACCTTCCGGAGCAAGTAAAAGTCTATTTTCCCACCTCTGTGACAAGTGCCTGATAATACTGCGATCTGTTGTCGGTTTTACGACGGAAGCTACGATGTACACTGAAAAAACTGTTCTGCATGGTACAGCTGTAGACCATGTGTGTGTGTCGTGTATTTCCGATCAAATCTGTACCAGCAGCACAAGGGTTCCGAGAATCCGGAAAATTGTCCGACCCTATGATATGTACACGTTTCCTTCACCAGCGCTATTCCGCAAAAACACTGAGCCTCGATGTCCTGCGTGATGTCCTGGGCTAAGGTACGTGTACGCCAATAATTGATGCCAGTTCCTCTTGTCTGTTCGTGTCGCGCACGTATTGATGATGCCGAAGCTACGTACCCATTTATTTGACAATATCCCGTGCGAACATCGTCCATACTTGTTGCACATAGGACCCTTGCAAGAAATATTGGTGCTACAAGTAGCGTTGACACCTTTTCCGTGTCATGCATCCTATCCTGTTATTCACATGCCCCCCCTTGCAGAAGCACCCTCCCTCGAAAAGAACTTTTCTGATGAATCCCTCAAGAGAAACACAACCAAACTGCCTCTCTCTCTGTAATAAATCAGGACCCGGTGGGAGAGCTTTGCCACGGGCGGCGGCTGTACGGAGCCCTTCACACGTCTCTCCGCGTGTTAGGGGCGGTCACAACCTCGAGGCCTCGCGTTGGCGTGACCAGCATAATATTTTGCCCAGAAAAGCGGGAGATCGAGCTAAAGTGGACCATGACAGCGAGCGCGCCGTTCATGGGTGACCCTGTCAAGGTGCGGGAAATCACCGACATGTTGGAGATTTGTGTGTGGCAGCCGCGCAAGCTTGGGGCTGGTGTGGGAGTAGTGACGCACTCCCATCATCCAGAACTGTGTACTAAGGACCCCCCTCCCGAGTTCATTGTTGCAGTTGTCGTTCATGGTGACGGTGCTCCTGCGCAAACCACGGCTCCTCTTTGCACCTGTTGTGTTCGCAAGAGACCCTCGGGAAACGTGGACCCACGTTTTGTGTCTCACCACGCTCCTACCCCATTGCTACTCAATGTCAGCTCAAGAAAAAGGCACCGTGTATTTTGTACTTGCAAAGCTTTTGGATGACTTTGGGGGGAAC